ACTCCAGCAAATATTAAATTTAATCTCAAATTCAGCCATTTCCTGTCCCAGCTTCCAGCCACGGGCACCAAGAGGTGCTTGTGCCACGGGATCTCTGGAAAACCGGGATTGATTCCCAGCTCCTTCCCATTTGCCCTGCCAGAGGCTCATCTACAGTGGGATTTGATCCCAAGATTCCCTGCCAGTGCCAGCAGCTGGAACAGGAACAGGCCCCCAAGGAGGAACAGCCAGTTCCAGGAATTTTTGTTGCTGGTTCTAATTCCTGCTGCCTTTTTTTCCCCCCTGGGATCCAGATAAAAGCCTGGAATGGTTAAGGAAGGCTGTGCAGCAGCTGTGAAACGACACAAGGATTTCAGGGTTTCCCTGTGCCTCACAGTTCCCATAAATAAAACATTTACCAGCTCCCTCAGACAAAAAGCTGCATTTTGGGATAGTTTGGGAACTTTGATGGCTTTTTAAAAGCAGCTGGATGTGGTTATTCCAGTTCTGCAGTGAGATAACAATCCTGACCTCCACGTGCTGTTTGCTCCACACTTCCATGGTTATTTGGGAAGAGCATGGAAAATGGGAGCTGCTTTGGCAAAGCTGCACTAAAAAAAAAAAAAACCCCAAACCCCAAAGCCAACGTTTGAAATCCTTTCTGCAAAGGAGCTCCAGGGCTGTCTGGGTGTCTCTGCTCTCCAGGAGGAGCAGATCAACCAGCAGAAATTCCCTCTCCAGGGGGAAGAAGATAATGGAGGTTTTGAAGAGAGGAAACCGAGGGGTTTGTTCCAGGAAAAAGGCAACTCAGAGGCTTGAAAAACAGCCTGAAATGTTACCTTGAGCTTCTGAAACATCCTCATGGTTCTCATCCCCCACTTTGGTATCCAGGGCAGGATCCTCCTGCATTAAGAAACAGGGCTCTGTCAGTGCAGGCACAGAGGGAAGGAGGTTTCTCCTCAGGCTTATTGGAAGGATTTGGGATTATTGGGACAAAGTGCAGTGAAATAAGGGATTGGGATTGAGGAGGGAGAGGTTTCACCACCCCTCTGCTGCTCAGCACTTCTGGAGCAGTGACAGGCTGCAAAGTGGAGCAGGAAAAGCAAGGCAAAAACGTCCTGAACTATTTATAAATATTGTCCTGCTTAAACACATCTGGAAGCAGAGGGGGTTTATTAATACTCTGCTGAAACAATAACAGCTTTTTTCGAGATGCTACAGCACAAAAAAAACTCAACAAGCTCCACAACCCCCTGTGCTCTTACACTGGTGTCCTGGATCCCTCCTCCCGGCTGGAGGGACTCCTCCCTCTTCCCCTGCTCCAGGAGGTCTCTGCCCACGAGTTCCATGCGCTGTTTCTCGGTGGTGATCTTGACTTTGAGCAGGTGGAAGGGGGTGGGCACCTCCCCCACGTTGAGGTGGGTGGGCTCCTCGTTGAACATCAGCCCCTCGCACTTGGCCTCCCTGAAGCCCGGGGGTTGGTAATCGGGGGGTGTCACTGCAGGGGGGAAGGCAGGGAAGGGCTCACAGTGAGGCACAGCCTTGGGAAGGTAACAGGGAAACTCTTCGCTCCTTTGAATGTAAGAAAAAAATGTGTGTGTGGGGAGGGGAGTAATCGATATTGAGCTTGGAGTAAGTGAAGCTCTTTTCTCTGCACTGAGCAGGTGAAGCTGTTGAGAGAGGTTGGAGATATAAAATAGAGGCTCTGATCTGTCATGATAAGGAAACAACGCTCTGAAAGCAGGGCCAGAGGGTTGGAGAGTCACCAAACTAGAACTGGGCTGGCAAAGCCTGGGACAGCCAAGTGCAGCCCTGGAAGCACCCCGAGATCCCTGCTCTGGGGAAGGTGGGGCCAGGATTGTGTTCCTGAGGTGAGATCACCCCCCTTCCCCTCGGAGCTTGGATGGGAAAAAGAGAAAGAACATCATTTCCCAGGTGCCAGGGAGTGGGAATTTGGGTTCTGGGGAAGCAGGGAAGGGGGCAGGGTACCCTCGTCGTAGTAGAGCAGCTTCATGGTGAGGCAGACGTCGCTGGGCAGCGGGCTCAGGTTCTGCATCAGCACGAAGATCTTACGGATGAGCAGGATGCTGGCTTTCCTTGTGTCCAAACACGGGATGGGAGAGCCACAGGGATCCCTGCTGGGACACACAAAACCATGTTAGATGTCATGGATGAGCAGGATGCTGGAATTCCTGGTGTCTGCAGACAGGGATCCCTGCTGGGCCACACAGAGCCATGTTAGATCTCATGGATGAGCAGGATGCTGGCCTTCCTCGTGTCCAAACACGGGATGGGAGAGCCACAGGGATCCCTGCTGAGACACACAAAACCATGTTAGATCTCATGGATGAGCAGGATGGATCCCTGCTGGGACACACAAAACCATGTTAGATCTCATGGATGAGCAGGATGGATCCCTGCTGGGCCACACAGAGCCATGTTAGATCTCATGGATGAGCAGGATGCTGGCTTTCCTTGTGTCCAAACACGGGATGGGAGAGCCACAGGGATCCCTGCTGGGACACACAGAGCCATGTTAGATGTCATGGATGAGCAGGATGCTGGAATTCCTTGTGTCCAAACATGGGATGGGAGAGCCACAGGGATCCCTGCTGGGACACAGAGTCATGTTAGATGTCATGGATGAGCAGGATGGATCCCTGCTGGGACACACAAAACCATGTTAGATGTCATGGATGAGCAGGATGGATCCCTGCTGGAACACACACAGAGCCATGTTAGAGCTCATGGATGAGCAGGATGGATCCCTGCTGGGACACAGAGCCATGTTAGATCTCATGGATGAGCAGGATGCTGGAATTCCTTGTGTCCAAACATGGCATGGGAGAGCCACAGGGATCCCTGCTGAGACACAGAGCCATGTTAGATGTCATGGATGAGCAGGATGGATCCCTGC